AAAGTGAGCTTCGTCCTCAATCGTATAGCAATGACAACACTTACAAATTCTATCGTCTAAAGGTGTTTTAGGGCGTGTAAATCTACCGACCTCTATTTCCAGAGGTAGGGTGCCACATCGTAACATGCTAAGCATACTGCGATGAGATCTAGGCAGAAGTTCAGTGACCTATGGCTCAGCTGTTAATAGTTTCTTAAACTTTCTGTAAGTACGGAGTTTATTCCCATTAGGTTTCCCTCGGTCGTTCCAAAGTTCTTTATTCCAATCCTGACAATCTAAAGATCGTATCCATTGTGAAACGTTATAACATTCCATTTTAGACATATTATACAGGTCCACCACGGGGAGATCCAATTTGTTAAGAATATCAACAACAATTCTATTCCCATATTATTCTATACTGCACTCGGTATTATACGACAGGCACGAAGCAAGCACTCACATCTGTTTTAATGAAATTTCGTTGCACCCGTGCTTAATTTACAGATGCTCTGTTCCATCAACCCAAGCCTTGTATGTATGGCGAGAAATAAGGTATCTCACCGCTCAACATTCCTACACGCATTTAGATTTACGCGCTTCGCTTTCCCAGGTAGCATCCGACGTTGGTCCAACGTTGACCAGACGGTCAAAAAAAACATTGGGGCAACGTCGGCATCCAACGTCAGAATGCTAACGGGGACTAACTAGCATCGATGAGACACTGTGTCAATCCTGTAGGTACCATCATGCAATGTCATCGTTCTATCATTTCCAGGATGCAGTATACCATGGGTACTCTAAAAATATGTGATTCAAGTAAATTATGTAATTATAAAGAATAGGAATCTCTTTTATCAATTAAATATTATTTGCGTGATATCCCAGAAAGAGAATACAGAAGACTTTTATGCTTATTACATATATGTGAGCTCCCTTTAATGGTTAATATTTGCAGACGGTGTGACACTCTCCGCTGTAATAGAATATGTACATTTTGTGAGTTAGGTTGCGTAGAAGATGAATATCACTTCCTTCTAAAATGTCCATTGTATGACTATCTCAGATCAAAATATATACCAAGATATTATAATTGTAATTCACCCACGATGTTTAAGTTTCAAACTGTTCTAACATGTAATAAGATAAATATTTTGCTAAATGCTGCAAAGTTTATTCAGGAAACTCTATTTCTCAGAAATTCCCATCTGTCATTATAGTGATTATTTGTATTATGTTGTACATGGGCCGTTGGCATTTACACCCAATAAAAGAATAAAATAATTGAATTGAATTGAGCATGATAGTTCCGTGCAAGTCCATGCCGTGTCGTTTCAAGCTTAACATAGTCATATTATACATATGACAGGAAATACGTAAAATATGACATGATCATTTTATAATCGCATATTGATCAACTGAACGTGACGTATTTCAAACCGAATACTCGTATACTCGTCATTATCCTGTTCCACACATAGTTCTAAATGTTTGAATGCTTCCCGTGACAAAGTCCTTCGTGGCGAAGGCTGAGTGGGTTAGATCGCTGCCTTTGTGTGCTGGTATTTTAGTGTCTCACTCTTCATAGATGGCTTTAAATCTCCGTGGACGGTGGGGTAGCTTAATGGTTAAAGTGTTCGTTCGTCACACCGAAGCCCCGGGTTTGATTCCCCACATGGGTGCAATGTGTGAAGCCCATTTCTGGTGTCCCCTGCCGTGATGTTGCTGGGATATTGCTAAAAGCGGCGTAAAACCAAACTTACTCACTAGTTTTATGACAGGAATATTGCTTAAAGCTGCGTAAAACTAAACTCAGTCACCCATTAAATCCCCGATGCTAGATATACCTGCCACTATTTACCTTTGTATGAAGAACAATTTACCAAACAAAAACATATTCCACTTTTAAATACATTATTTGTGAGAACTGCTGTACATTTAGAATAGTGATGGGGCCGGTGGAGGTAGCCTAGTAACACCGAAGACCCGGGTTCGATTCCCCACTTTCGTACTATATATGAAACCCATTTCTGGTGTTCCCCGCCGTGATATTGCTGGAATATTGCTAAAAACTAACCAACTAAGGAACGAACGAACGAACGAACAAACGAACTAAAACGAACGAACGAACTCGGATATATAGTGATGAGTTTGCACTGTGAAACTGTTAGTCATATCTCATTGTAACCTGTAAATAGAACAATGGCCCTTATCGGAATAAAAACGGTGTCACTATGATTTAGACACGTTCAAAAGTAACTTCGTATTCAAGGCACTTCGACCTACAGTGTGTGTGTCTGAATACATTAGTCTGGATTTATGCAAGTTTTTCAGTGCAAGTTCAAAGACATAGCATGCGGTGGTTGAACAATGAGATCCAACTCGGACTCCTTATATACCACATCCGCCCCGGACAGTTCTTGTTTCCGATATCAAGTCAGGGCAGCAACAAGTACCATCATCTCACTTCACGTGACCAGGGCCACAAACCGCCTTCTTCCGCTGTCGGGGCAGATTCACAGATTCACGGATTCACCAGTTCGACTAACGGGATCGGGTGGTCACCCTCGCTGACTTGGTTCATGCATGTCATTGTATCCCAGTTGCGCTGAGCGGTGCTCATGATGTCGATCACTGGATTGTCTTGTCCAGACTCGACTATTTACAGATCGTTGGGATAAACCTGGAAAAGAGTGCGGCGTAAAACAACAAACAATCATACCACAGGAAAAAAATGTACAGATTATTTGAGTAAAGGCTTTAAAAAATACCTTGCGATTAGGGACGACAAAAAACAGTTATCAACGGTACTCGTACGTCTGCAATACACACACACACACATACACACACACACAAAATAGGGTTGAAAAAAATACGAAATCGCTGATATCGGTCGGCAGAAGAATAAAACGCAAGAGCTGATTATTTTCAGATTGATAGCCTGTAAAATGGAATGGAATCATTTGCAAATTATTTCATTAATATACGAACTTGGAATAAACTGAATTTATGTGTTTATCTCCCCGAAAATGACGAGAAATCCTTGACCTTTACCTCCGCGTGGGCGATTGGCGGTCTGTTGCAGATGACCACCGGCTGACGGCTATTAACATCAATCAGGTCTGAATCATCCAGCTTAGATTGCAATATATAAATGGAGCGACCTTTAAACATTCATGGTTGGAAAATTCTGTCCTAAATACACACCGACACACATAATTATACACCAATATAATATAGCTTTGTTGAATAAACTACCGGACAAAAGGAACTTGTCACTTTTAAAGTGATTGCATAATAGACAAAATCACTGGTAAAGGTTTGAACCCAAGCAGAAAACATTCGCCCAAACGCAACATTGTCCCGATAACAACGCACCTGTCCGAAAACTTCGTACGAATCGTGCATTTTTAAAACGTGAAAAACGTAATTGTGGGACATTTGTCCAAATGCATGTGCATAATTGAGTCCCATCCGGGATTCGAATTCACACCCTCAGAGTCAGGCACCTAATAGCCAGCACACAAAGTCATCCGCCTAATTAACCTGCTCAGCCACCGCGACTTCCACAAAATGGAAGTATTCAGATTTAGGCGAGAGCGGTGGGGCACCTTTATAGCGGTGAAAGCGTTGGCTCGTCACGCCGAAGACCTGGGTTTAATTCCCAACATTGGTACAAATATGTGAAGCCCATTTCTAGTGTCCCCCGCCGTGGCATTGATGGAATATTGCAAAAGGCGGCGTAAAACCATACTCTCTCACTTTCCCAGATAGTATTCCGACGTTGCTCCGACGGTCAAAAAGACGTTGGGCCAACGATTGGTCAACGTCAGAATGCTAACTGGGTTTTGTATCGACGAGACACTGTATCAATCCTGTTGGTACCATCACGATATACCATCGTTCTATCATTTCCAAGTTGCAATATGTCGTAAGCATGATAGTTACGTTATTGTGAGCAGTGTGCGAAATAGTTTCCTAATTTTGCAACCAAGTCGGGCTAGCTATGCCTGAAAGTTACTAGCCCAAAAAATATTTCACTAGTCCAAAATTTGAATGTAGACACGGGATTCATCATTAAACTGCTAATATGATGAACATTTTTATCAGGCCATAATCTTGCATGATTTCAAAGTGTGTTCTAACAAGTCAGAGAGAGTGATATATTTACAAAATGACCCCTTGAAAATCCACTAGCCAGTCCGGCCGGTGACTGTGGAGATTTACTGGTCCGACTGGATTTTTACTAGCCACGGGCTAGAGGGCCAGTGACCATATTAGTTTTTTAGCTCTAATGTCGAATCTACGCCCTGTTTCGATTCTATATTACATATTAACTGTTTGAGATATAATATCAGGCAATGACAACCTTTGTTCTAAAATATACAGAATGGATATTGTGGGCTAGCAAATATAGTATATGCCATCTGGTTGAAGTTTAAAGTTTAACAGCTCCAAAGGATAAGACAAACGTTGTATTTGACGACCACAGTTACATGGCTTCTGTTTAGTCCACGGTGATATGCTTGTGAAAATATTGTTCCACTCGATGAAGGTGAATAAAAAATGTCCAGTTAGTAAAGAGATTTATCAAAAATGCTGAAGCATAATTGATGGCACAGCCATGCTGTAAATTATTAGGGAAAGTCTATTTTATTTTCCCTCGACGTAATAATTAGATTGAAATGGTTAGATTTTGTATTTGAGCAGTTAAAATGAACGTACATGTTAAGAGACAGGTTAACGTGTTTGTGTTTTTTGTTGTTCAACGCCGCACCCAGCAAGGTTTCAGCTTTATGGCGTCGGTCTGTAAATAGCCGAGTCTGGACCAGACAATCCAGTGATCAACAACATAACCATCGATATACGTAGGATAGGTTGTCAAGATCACATCGTAATTTGGTTTGACTGTGTATGTTATGTTATAGTGGGGTTGGACTGTATGTCGTAGTTGAGTGGTCGTATGGTGAGGGCAGAAGAGATAAACATGTGACTATATAAGGTGAATGTCACGTGTAATAAGTGCAATCACGAGAGAGCACACTTACCGTATGGCTGGTTGAAGAAGTGGCTTGTTTTTATCTCTTGACGTGAGTAGAATTTGCGATTTTTTTGTAAATGTTTATAATTATGTATCGCGTTGCTTTATAATGTTCCATAATTATAGGAATGCACAGATAGCTCTGGTATTATGCTAAGAGTTCCCCCTGTTCCCCAGTCCCAAATAATGTTTATAAATTAATGCTCGTATACACTAAAACCATTAACAAAACCAAACAGAAAAATTACTAGAGAACTCACAAAAATAACTAAAACCCCCCAAATTAATTACAGTATATAGGGTCGAACCACCTTGCGTTACCTCTGTTAAACTGCGAAAGCAAGAATTGAGGGAACGGAAGGAACTCTTACCATAATGACTTTTCTGTGTGTTTAATAACGTCCGTTATTCTAAGTGAATGATTAGCATATCAAATATATTAATATTTGGGTAGTGTTCGGGACCAGTGCGGTCCTGAAGGACAAGTCAAAACATTGATTCCACAACAGTCTCGTTTCCTGTTGACTGGGTTCCGTCCTATTGCGCAACTTAGTACAATAGCAGTCCTGGATTCTGAGACAAATTCATTTAACTGGATACATAAATATTGATCAGTATTATTTGATACATCTAAGCACTTGTATATTGCAACACTACGCACCTTATAATCCTTGCAAACACGTCGTGAAGCGTGCTCTGTCGTATAGCGAGCACTGACAATCAGAAGCCTGGAAATCGTAGAAATCTCAAAACGAGGCTCTGCCGCTAGAAACGTTTGGCGGTGTGGTACGGACATTGTGCGTTACAGAACTACACTAAATAAGCGCAAAAAACACATAATAGGTGTAACCAATGAGCAGGATGCATTGTGAATCATTTTACGACCTCATCAAACTGGGGCAGTCTGTGACGTCTTAGTTAATGTCATGCTGCCTACACCTCGCCATAAAATATAGAAATACGATGTTATTAAAGTTTAAAATTGAAATTCATTTGTAAATGACATTTCCTTATGAAACAAGGAATTGGAATTCAGTGTAACCATAGTTGTTTGTGATGTTTATTTTCACTTTCACAAGAGAACATTCGGATAGGCTGAAAAGTAGGTCATTGTCTGAACAGCTTAATGAGACTCATGTTCGGTTTGGGAGTTCCAGTGTGGCCTCGCCTCACCTCGCCTCGCCTTGATTGACCAGTGGAGTCCTGTAAGAGCGGGTTCCTGTATGACCTCGTGTCGCCTTGATTAACCAGTGCGGTCCTGTAAGAGAGAGCTCCAATGTAGGCTCGCCTCACCTTGACTGACCAGTGCGGTCCTGTAAGAGGGAGCTCCAGTGTAGCCTCGCCTCGCCTTGACTGACCAGTGCGGTCCTGTCAGAGGGAGCTCAGATGTAGCCTCGCCTTGATTGACCAGTGCGGTCCTGTCAGAGAGAGCTCGAGTGTGGCCTCACCTTGATTGACCAGTGTAGTCCTGTCAGAGGGAGCTCCAGTGTGGCCTCACCTCGCCTCACCTTGATTGACCAGTCTGGTCCTGTAAGAGAGAGCTCCAGTGTGGCCTCACCTTGATTGACCATTGTGGTCCTGTATGAGAGAGCTCCAGTGTGGCCTCACCTTGATTGACCAGTGTAGTCCTGTAAGAGAGAGCTCGAGTGTGGCCTCACCTTGATTGACCATTGTGGTCCTGTAAGAGAGAGCTCGAGTGTGGCCTCACCTTGATTGACCATTGTGGTCCTGTAAGAGAGAGCTCCAGTGTGGCCTCACCTTGATTGACCAGTTTAGTCCTGTCAGAGGGAGCTCCAGTGTGGCCTCACCTCGCCCCACCTTGATTGACCAGTCTGGTCCTGTAAGAGAGAGCTCGAGTGTAGCCTCACCTCGTCTTGCCTTGACTGACTAGTGTGTCCTGGCCAGGGTGTCCTGACGCGTGACGAACTGAGCTCAACATTACCGGTACCTGTGTCACGTCAAAATGTGGCAGTAAAAAACAAAAAAAATCTTTGCAAGATGACCTATGCACAGTGGAAGTGTATCGATTCTCATAAATTGAGAAATATCTACTTTCTGTAAGATTTGTGTGAACATCAACGGTTTTGAAAATTAACTGTGTAATCATTTTAAACTATTGTTTTGTGTGTTTTGTTTGGAGATATCGGTGCTGATTTGTCAGGTGTGTGAATTGATATGTTTGCGTATGATGAATGTGTAGTGAGTTGAGGATGAACCTTCGTGTCAGAAATAAATTGATATGATTGGTGTATGATGAATGTGTAGTGAGTGGAGGGTGAACCTTCGTGTGAGAAATACACTGATATGATTGCGTATGATGAATGTGTAGTGAGTGGAGGGTGAACCTTCGTGTCAGAAATAAATTGATATGATTGGTGTATGATGAATGTGTAGTGATTGGAGGGTGAACCTTCGTGTCAGAAATGAACTGATATGATTGTGTATGATGAATGTGTAGTGAGTGGAGGGTGAACCTTCGTGTCAGAAATAAACTGATATGATTGTGTATGATAACTGTGTAGTGAGTGGAGGGTGAACCTTCATGTCAGAAATCAATTGATATGATTGTGTATGATGAATGTGTAGTGAGTGAAGGGTGAACCTTCGTGTCCGAAATAAATTGATATGATTGGTGTTTGATGAATGTGTAGTGAGTGGAGGGTGAACCTTCGTGTCGGAAATAAATTAATATGATTGTGTATGATGAATGTGTAGTGAGTGGAGGATGATTTTTGTTGTCAGAAATAAATTGATATGATTGTGTATGATGAATGTGTAGTGAGTGGAGGGTGAACCTTCGTGTCGGAAATTAATTGATATGATTGTGTATGATGAATGTGTAGTGAGTGGAGGGTGATTTTTGTAAATTATTTTTGTGGTTTGCATTTCTGTTATAATTTAGAAGGTACGCATTTTTTCATAGGGATTATAGTTATATTGGTGATAACAATTTCCCTTACTTGCCTGTTCTACTGACAAGTATAAGGGGACAGAGAAGGATGGGAAGAACCTTGAAAATATGGTTCATTGTGGAATTCGTTTGTTGTCAGTCGTTCATCCATATCACATTCTTTGGCCTTTGTTTTTTTTGTCAATCCCAACAATCACCATCACCATGTAAACGTCCAATTGCCCGGCCACTTTATCTCCTTGCACTACTGCTCTCTCCCATTGCAATTTATACCTCTGTCATTTCACTCAATCGCTTTGTTCTATTGCAAAGTAGTTCTGCCATGGTTAAACATCCTTCCCATGTTGCGTATGAAAACTTTCAAATTAGTTTTGACATACTGATATTTTATTTCAGAAACCACATGTCACAGACAAGTCACTGAAGAAGAAAAAGACAAAAGTAACAGATTTCAGGAAATTGATTTTTTTCAGTCAAACAACCCTTCAACTGATTTAAACAGACATGTCGAAGAATCTATTCAATACAGGTTATATCCACTATGGTGAACCAGGGTCTGGCCATTATGGCTCAACACTTTCCAAGCAAACTGAAGAATTAACAAAGCCTGTGAGGGACAAGGTACAAGCTTTGGTGGAAGATATTCCTTTCAACGAGCCTGTTTTCAACATCGGTGACTACGGCGCAGCAGATGGGTCATCTTCGATGCCGTTCCTGAGGAATATACTGACGACTCTGAAAGAACGACACGGTCCCCAGTGTCAGTTCAATGTCATCTACGAAGATCGAGCCTTAAACGACTTCAACTCTTTGTTCAAATGTATCTCTGGATTAATTCCTGGCCATAAATCGTACCTTCTTGACATGGACAATGTCTTTGCTCTGGCATCTGGTGTAGACTTCTATAAGCAGTGTGTACCATCCAGCTCCATGCATTTCATCATGTGTATGGCCGCTGCTCACTGGTTGTCGAAAACACCGACTCTCTTCAAGGAATCAATTTATTTTAACCAATACAGTAGCGCAGAAGAAAAGAAAGCCCTACAGGAACAGGCTCGTTCAGACTGGGAGACGTTTCTCCTGATGAGGAGTAAAGAACTCAAGAAAGGAGGAGTTCTACTTGTCTCCGTGTCCTGCGAATACTTTGAGGAATCGAGATTTTGTTTGCAAAACATTATTTCTGTTTTGACAGAAGAGTGGAAGAGATTACGCAATTCGGGTACAATCACGAACGAGGAATTCATCAACACAAACGTGCCGTTTTGCCACTACAACATCAGAGATCTCAAAGCGCCGTTGGAAAATCCAGCATCTCCCGTTTGGATATCGGGTCTGCGTCTTGTTTCAGCCGACGTCGTCAAAGTCGAAGACGTGTACTACTCCGCCTGGAAGACAAAGAAGGACCAGGAGGGCATCGATGACAGGGAAGGATTTGCCAGGGCGTATGTGGCCGCCCACAGGAACTGGAGCAACTTTACATTCATCGCCGGGCTTTCCAACTCAAGGGCACAAGATGAGAAAGAAGAGATTGTTGACTGTTTTTTTGACACAGTGCAGAACCGGATAGCAATCATGAATCCATACACCTTCAAAGATGATATTTTTATGAACTACCTTATTATTTCGAAAGAATACTAGTTATTTCCTGGGTTGGCAATTAGATAATCTTGGGAGGATGTTGAGGGTTGAGGATTGGGTGAGGTGGGGTGGGGTGGAGTTTGGTAGTGTGGTTGAGAGGCATTGTTTTATTTTCCCCTTCTTATTGCTAAAGAAGGCTGGTTAAGTCTGGGGCACAAACATTTGTTTAATTCATGTGGAAGGTGATAGGGACCAGGGGACAAGAGTTGCGAGAGCTGAAAACATGTGAAAAAATAACCAATGACCTTGCATGCATTTTTCCTTAGTTAATGTAGACAAGAAAGTGTCGCTCGTTCACAGGACGAAAAACCAAGTACGTAAAGCCAGACGAGGAATATTAGATGCTTGATCAGTTCCTTATATAAAGCAACTACCAGCTTTACAATTCCCCCAATATTTTATAGCTGTATTACTCACCATCCAACCAAAGCCCAGTCAACTCATGTTGAGTATAAGGTGGTGGGTCTCTAAATTATCCATTATAAACAGGAACAATTCTTAGCAATAGCTCTTAACAAGGTAGTCTGATAGTCGGACTGGCAGCGTTGATGTCGATGTGGGTGGGGATAGGTGAACATTACTGGCCATTCTTCTCGAATACGTCATGCGTCTTACAAATTTCTTGCAATTCGACCAACACCTGATTGGTTGCGTTTCTCCTTCCATTGGCAAAACTATCCTTTTATGATTCAAATAAAACTACATTATTCGAAAGATGACATAACGTTAAATACGGAAATACAAATGCCAACTGTGGATAAATTCAAGGTTCATATCAACATCCAAGATTATGCCGTGTTTCAGCATGTCTTCATAAATAGTGACGTCATGATCTCGATCGCAAGAATCCAACGGGACTTAAAGTTAAAACTAGACAAAGGTGGTATCTTCCCATTATGACTACGCACAATATGGCTACTCCCATTTTGTCTATTCGTGAACATAAACATGGAGCACCCCTACAATTCATAATGCACTGTACCTGTATAGCTGATTACTCACAGTTTGTCTACTCTTTGAAATAAACCCATAAGGGAGACTCCCAGGGCCTGCCCATAATCTTTAGAAGCTAAGTGAATCAGGGATCTTGTGATCATTCTTTGTTTCTTTTGATATTTGGAGATAACGCCTCTGCTCGGATTAAAACTTTGTAAACTTATAGTACAGGTTGTTTGCTTTAAAATTTGGACATAATCCAATTAATGTTGCCGTGAAGATATTTCCGGTAACAGTACGGAATCCACATCCACAAAATGGAAGTCAAAATGGCCGCATGTCCTGTGTCACGTGGTCAGGACAATGAACACACAGTTCCTGGTCTGGAGCAGTTAAAATAGCGCGAGATCTCGTGAACCGGAACAGACATAACGGGAATGGACCGATTCAACTGGCACAAGCTTAACCACGGTCTGTCGACGGTAACAACTCAACAGTTTTGACCAGTTGCTGCGTGCCAGTACACCGTAGCCAGTAACTATATTTTTATGAGTTGTATTAAGTTATTTCTGTCGTTTTTCAACCCCATTGTGATCTTTCTGAAAATTGGTACTAATGGATGTGTCATTAAGTCATTTTGTATTAACACTACAAGCTTTATTACTGTTGCCCTTTCTTTGCTGTGAATGTGTTAGCACAGGTCCCGAAACTGCATATATAATGAGGATGAGAAAGAGCGCGGCGTTGCAAAATAACATCGCACTGTGTTGCAAGTGTGTTGCACTTGCTGAACTAACTCCAGTATCGGTGACCTTTGCTATAATATCCACAATGAACTTAGTTAAGCGCCCCCTGACATATCTCACGATTGAATGAGCCCCGATCGTAACCCTTGGGAGCATATCTGGGACATGATTGGTCGTCGTGTGCAAGAAAGCGATCCTCGTGTACAGAACCTGGCCCAATTGGAAGTTGCTTTACACGAGGAATGGCGTAGCCTGCCCCTTCAGAGGATCAGGAGGCTGACAGGGGGTATGGGGAGGAGAGTGCTAGCGGTCATACAGTCACGTGGACATTACACTCGGTATTGACCTTGAATCGTGTATGACACGCAAAATAACATTTACCAATATATTCAATATTAAACATTCCAGGGCCATACCTGTACAGACATGGTTTTGTATGAAAATCAGTGCTTCTTTGTTTTGTTTTCTTTTAAAAATGAGCAATTATCATAATAAAATCAACATGGATTCCAATCATTTTGTCGTTTTTGTGAGTCAAAGGTCCATGCGGGTTAGAGAAACTCATGTTTTTCCATCGAGGTCACCACGATAAGTTTTATGTTCGTGTTGAAAATCTATCATTGCAAAAAATCTGTTCTTTGTGTATAGTTGATTTTACGCACGTATCGGACATAAATAATTATGGCTGACTATTCAGGGGGATACAACTATTGCGATAGTGATAGTATATTGTGACCAACTATTGCAATACTATTGCAATAGGTTTTTTTCCTCCTTGAACTGTCTCATTAGAAGTCATTTCTCAAATGAATGTATAGTTTATATGAAATAAAAACAAGTTGAAGTAGTTTCAATCGCGGACAACTCTAATCAAAGTGAACCAATCTGGTACATTCCTGTATTTTGCGCTGCGTATTTATCAACGGAAGTCACATTACTAAACTATCCATAGTCACACATACTATCGATGCATCGATAGTGTTTCGTTTCTACAATCGATTGATTGCTATCGGAAACTCAACAATTGCAATCCATCAATTGTTCGATGTATCGTTACAGCCCTATAACAGTGTATGACATAAGGCCCGTCCGACCGCCCAAGACGGGCTAGATTTCTGACGGACGGTCAAAATGTACAGCAAGACAGCCCGATGGTCTGGTCAAAAATTTCGATGTTCCATACACCTGAGTAAATTCACCATATCTGGTCTGGTTAAATTCCATTTGGGCTAGTAACATTTTGAAGTTACCAGCCCTGATGTCTGGCTTGGTTTCTGGCTTATTTCATACATACGGGTACGAGAAAGACAGTCATTCACCTTTCACATCTCTGACGGTCTTTCTTATTCAGTATTCCTGGGACAACTTAACATTTATAGACGAAAAAGAAAGATGAAAATATTGACTATTTCTGTGACACAGTGCAGGACCAGAAAGCAAACATGAATCCAGACACCTTCAAAGATAACAATTGTAACTACAACAACCCAGTCAGAGCGGTCGGGCGTGCACTTAAGTGTAACGAAGTCTTTCTTTGGCTGGTTCATTTGCCGATACGCTCAGGGCTCTGCTCATGCATACCGGCTTAAGCCGCGGGAACCTATTCACTGCGCATGCGCTATGTGCGCAGCGCAGCACAGCTATTGAAAGCACTTTTCACCCCAGCTTGGGTCTTTTTAGTGAATCGTTTGAACTCCGATTTCGCGGGATTAATTTGATCGCGTTATTTTTCCACTTTATAAGTTGAATTTGCATTTTTTTAAAATTTGTTACTGTAAGTCCATAACGAAAGGTATCAGAATCTGCAAAGGACAAGGTATGATGAAGGCCCTTATTGGCCCACAAAATTTCATGATATTCAAAGTTCTACAACATGATAATTTTAGCATAAAAAATGCTAAATAAATTGTTGAAATCACCTCCATATGCTTTTTTTATGTTTTAGTGCTTTTTTCCCCCTCTTTGAAGACCTAAAAGTTAACCTATTTTACAATATCTTCGAAAAACCTGCATTTTCATATTTTCAGAGTGATAAGAAAGTGTGAGCGAAAGCTTGACCCATCCCAATTTTTTCACCACACATGAAGAGAGTTAATTAGAATGCACTCCTAAAAAACTGTGGCGGGTCACGCTTTTGTTCATATCAAAATGTTTAAAAAAGTACATTTTTCTGTTGTATAAAAAGTTGCCCCATACAACATCTCAAAAATAAACATTGGCGTAAAGTAATATCTCTGAAAACTATCCGTCACATTTACACAACTATACCATGATTCATTATTATTTTGAATGTTTTAGAGCACTAAAATGAACTTATCAAACGTGTTTATTAAAAAATTTCAATATCGTAAGGGACTCTCAAGGCTGATTACTTTGAGGTAAACAAGGGTAGTTTTATGGAGACCCTGTTGATCACTGCTGGAAAAATAAGAAGACTTCAGAAGATTTTTCAAAATATGATCAGGCAGCATTCTAAAGGTGAGAATCTTTGTAATTATGCTAGAATTTTATCATATTTGTTCTATCATCTGTTTAGCAAACCCCTCTGTGTCACCTGTCACTGTCAAATAACACTGGCATTCCACAGGATGTAACTGTGTATAAAAATACACATTTTAACAAAAATAATGGACGTTGATGTTTTCTAGGATATATCAGGCTACATTTATTATTGTTAGAATAAGAACATTGTATCAAGGTCTAGTAGATGATGAAAAGCAAGCAGACGTCAAGGGACACATTGTTGCAAAGTGTAATATATAAGCTTAAGTGACAAATAGTAACAGAAGAATTTGTAGCCTAGTGGTTACAGTAATGGCCTCTCATTTTTTTCTGTTATCAGACATGCAGGTTCAAATCCTAATGTTTTTTTTTTCTTTGTTTTTTTTCAAAAGTTCAGTTAAACATTGTAAATTGGCTGACCAAACTTGTACAGATGAAATCAAAATGTTACCCAAAAAAAATCTTAACTTTGGTAATGTAAGTTACACTGTTCAAACAAACTTGAATTAACATCATGTAAATCTTGTTTAAGCCTGAAGACACTGACATTTCCACTTTGTTCCCACACAATAAAGAACCCGTAGAAGGTAAGCATTGTTTCAAAATGTTAGTATGGTAATTTCTTTAAGTAAATATTTACAAACTGTCCAGAGCTGTTAATTAGTGGTGCACTGATCAAACAAATAATTAGTTTATGGATATTTTGTGGGCTGCCAGTCAAGTACCGATAACCAAATCACATATCAATTAAAGCGTTCACTATTTCTTCTTAAAAATATGTTTACAGAACCAATGACTATTGGTTTCAATTGTCATGGAAACTGAGGACTGATTACCTTTGTTTTCATGTGCTCTAACAGTTGTTTTTATCTTATATCTATAATTGATCAAAAGGTGGCCTCAACAATTGATTATGGTTTTGGAAGTCAATTCCCTTCCCTATATAACTATACTATTGACATGTTTAGCATTAGAAAAATTGAAAAGCACCAATTTCTTGAACAAAATGATAATTCTTTTATGATTTCAAATATTTGTTTTCAGATAAGAGAAATTTGCTTGGACTGATTTCAGGAGTTTCATTTCATGAAGATGACAACTTAAAACTTGAGGTGGAAGGTAAGCATAATATGTGTGCTAAAAAATAAACAATATCTATTTTCTTCAATTTTCTAATTTAATGTGACAGAATTTCAGAAATACTGATGTCTCAGTGGTGATTAAATCTGCATAAGCCTTCAAAGCCAGACTACTGACATTTGAAAATAAATAAGTAATGTTACCCTTGAATAGATTTATAATATCAAAGTTTCTGAAAAGAATTTTCTTTTGATATAAAGTCATCTGTTTTTCAGTTGAGAGAAGATCTGGGTATGGCAGAAACCAAGACAATATGCCAGTTTCCAGCAACTCTAGTGATACACGGTTGAATCACAGGCCCCCACTGCGGGTCAGAAAATCGATAAACTAGGCCCCGGTTTAGTATCAACACCCCCTACTATATAATATAGAAATGTTCATCACGGAAATACGGTGACATGATCGAAAACCGGACAATTACGCACATGTCAATGAATATATCGTATTTTAAAGGTCTCACAAGTATCAAAAAGTTTTGTCCATATCTCCGATGTGTGTATGAGGCATATACATGGGCTTTCCGTGGGGATGCATTTGATGGGTTTTTTTAAATCGCAAAAGACAGAGTTGCTGTGCCGGAAGTATACAAAACTAGCTCGACTTCAATACCTCCGGCGATCTGATTGGCTAACACATTACACTGAATGAATGTGTTTCTTTAAAAAATATTTGTACTCGTTTTTTAAATTATTCTTACCAAGATAAAACATCAGATAGTGACATCTTGGATGATAGACGTTTGAGTTTCCCTCTCATTTTCGCACGTGCATTTGTTGTCATTTTATTAACCAATTTGATTGCGCTGACGACCTAGTTTTGTACACTTCCGGCACAGCAACTCGGTCTTTGGCGATTTAATAAAAACCATCAAATGCATCCCCACGGAAAGCCCATGTATATGCCTCATACATACATCGGAGATATGGACAAAAGCTTTTGATACTTGTGAGACCTTTAAAATACGATATATTCATTGACATGTGCGTAATTGTCCGGTTTTCGATCATGTCACCGTATTTCTATATTATATAGTAGGGGGTGTTGATACTAAACCGGGGCCTAGTTTATCGATTTTCTGACCCGCAGTGGGGGCCTGTGGTTGAATGCTGCAGTTCTTGACAGTGATTCAGAAACTGATTCAGAGATTGATGACCATGTGGATGAAGAGTGAAAGTGGATGTTTTCTATATCTTTGCAGTGAATGAGTTGTGAATAATTACTTTTTGAAGATATTTGAATACTGACTTTTAACACTTACTTGGTGTCAAAATCAAGCTGTGCCAAGAATGTAATTTCACCTGAAATAGGCCCCTTTGAGGTCAAGACCTGTGATTTTTAGTGCAACATGATTGGTTATTATAACAACATGTTGAGAATGAGATGTTTACTGTATATATTTGCAAGAATGTTGTAAATACTGACTTTTAACACTTACATGGTGTTAAATCAAGCTGTGCCAAGAATGTAATTTCACCTGAAATAGGCCCCTTTGAGGTCAAGACCTGTGATTTTTAGTGCAACATGATTGGTTATTGTAATAATATGTTGTGAATGAGATGTTTACTGTATATTTGCTAAAACTGGTTGTGAATACTGACTTTTAACACTTACTTGTTAAAATCAAGCTGTGCCCAAAATGTAATTAGACCTAAACTGGGCCCCTGTGATGTTTCGTGGGACATGATTGGTTATCATAAGTACATGTTGTAAAATTGACCTATAGGTTATGTTTGCAAAGAAAGTTGTGAATAATGAGGGTTTTCTTAATCAATTGGCAAGTAATTGAATTACTGTCCACAATGTATTGCAACCCTAATTGCGCCCCTTGAAGTTAAAACCTTGTGATTGATGTTGACATGTTTCTTCATCATGAATACCTGTTGCAAAACTGATACCTTTTTGTATGTAAATTAACTGATAGTTGTATATAATTCATTATGGCACACTGATATTTCAGATTTCTTGTTATTTTTTCATGGGAACTGATAAAACCCATTTTTGGCCCCTCTGCATTGAAATTATGGCCTCAGATCATATAAAAAATAGCTTATTTATGCAAAGCTATCTTATCTCTGAACAAATAACATGTGTTCAGCCAATTCTGTTTGTGGGCCAAAAAACACCATTATCATACCTTGTCCTTTGTGTTTTGCGAGGTATGTTAGCTTTAAGTTGATAACTCGCCTTAGCGCAACCCAGCAATTATTATATGGTGTGTCACCCAATTATACAAGGAACATTGCTAAGCTGTAATCGGTTTCATTTTGCGAGCTAATGGATGTTATAGACTGCCAGTGATGACATTAGTTTGTGTCAGTATGAAGGCCAATGGCCGAAAACAAAGTCACACATAACACTATTTACATGCGCAATGTACAATTGTACAGGTACAGCTGCTCCACAACACACACATGCTTGTCGTAAGAGGCGACTAACGGGATCGTGTGGTCAGGCTCGCTGACGTGATTGACGCATGTCATCGAATCCCTATTGCGTAGATTCGTGTTCATGACTTCAATCACAGGATTGTCTGGGTCAGACACGATTACTTGCAGATCGTCGTCGTATTGCTGTAAAATTGCTGAAGTCGGCGTTAAACAATAATCAACAACTCGTCATATGAAGCAATATATCTATATTTTATTCAGTGATTTTTACATTTGATCCTAAGCTATACATACCACCATTTCAACAAAGACAGGATTGGGTTTCACACATTACACCCATGTGGGGAATCGAACACGGGCCTTCGGAGTGACGAACGAACGCTTAACCACTAGGCTACCCCACAGCCCTGAATCCACAAGAGAAGCCTGTTGTGTTCATTCATGTCCTCTGAAAGTATAAAATGAGTTACAATGGGTTCGGGGTAGTCTATCACCTGACCACCCATGTGGAGAATCTAACCCAGGTCATCTTCGTGACGAGCGAACGCTTTAACCGCTAGGCTACCCCGCCGTCCCTTTGACAAAATAACACAACCCTGCCCTTCTGAAAGTCATAAACTGTTTAAACAAGAAGAGCTGTCAAAACAAAGCAGTACAAAATGTATATAATTATAAACGGACATGGTTTGCTAGGCCATATGTAAAGAAAATATGCACAATTGTATAAAGTTCATCTGACCACCTCAGAGTCAATCACTAACAAATAAAATGTGTATTGCATGTAAAATACTAATGTAATCTCATTGTAGACAAGTTTTGAAATGATAGCAATTTGATAAATAATACAACAAATACCACCGCGCAATAGCAACGACTATAGACCATTCTTAGCCAATATGCATGACCTCGAGGTCAAATCGAAAGCGAGGCTTAAATAGGTTGACCCAACCTTGAAAATGGCGACCTCGAAAAGGAAAGATTACTTCTGTGTGCCTTTGCGTTGGAGTGATGCCCGAAAGGATTTTACGGTATCTTTTCACCATATTCCCAAGAATGTCACACACAAACACATTCAAACACACACACACACACACACACATTGTCATGTTCAAAATCAGAGACCATCCCCCTAGTTCATATGTACACAATTGACCCCTCCCCCTGCCTCCCAAAACAAACTGGGAGACACCCCACCCCCCACAAACACCGTACCTAACATCATCATCACCCCCCTAGTCATAAATTATGAACGGTCCATTATATTTTTTTTTTAAAGCATATGGCCATATGGAGACACTCTTGTCATGATGGCAAGGGAATTTTATTTGCAAATATTCTGTATCAGTGAAATTAGTTTGGCTGCAAATCAAAGTAACATTTCAAGTACATGTCTAGCAGGACACACAAATGCTGTTAAAAAACCCTTAAATATGTACTTTCAAAACTCGGGAACCTCCCATAAGGAAGCTACCTCAGTCACCATCTCAGATACAGTAAGAATGTCAGATCGTATTAAGTTAATTTTGCCAACTGACATGGTTTTAAGAATTTAATACAACTGAACTTTATCATGCTATGTTATTTACATATAAAAATATTGATTGCCCATACTGTCTAAAATATGAAATGATGTTAGCCTACACTTGTACAACCCCAATATGTAAAATCAAGACAATATGTAAAAACTAACGCAATATGTAAAAGCTTAACGCAAAACGTAAAAACTAACGCAATAGGTAAACAATTAACGCCAAATGTAAAAAATATCTTTAACGCAATACGTAAACACCTAACGCAAAATGTAAAACCAATTTTTAACGCAATTTGTAAAAGATTAACGGAATATGTAAAATCAAGCTTTTTGGTTGTTTTTATGTCTTGGTGACTGAAACTTTTTAGTAACTTCACTTTATTGTCTTTCAAAATAAGATATTGCAATATTTCTGTCAAAATTAACCTCATTTCTAATTCAACTGAAATCTGATCTGTAGGGTCATTAAACATCAAGGTAAAGCCGATAATTGTATGATGTAGAGATACTTTACATTATATTCTATATTCGACAGTATCAAAAGAAATCATTGTATTCTTCATAGATATTTTTTATATAAATGGTCAGATTGGTTGTATTATTCATCATGTCCCGTTCAAGGTTTTACCTTTTGGCCTTTTGTTATCCCACAACTGGCATTCAGCGTTAAGTTGGGGATAAAAAAATATCGTCTGCCCGTTCAAAGAACTGGTTTGGGCGATATCTCAAGAAGTGGTTAATCAATGTTTAATGATATTTGGCACTGTAACAAAGGTTCCACTTGAAATTCTGCATACATCAGTTTTTTGTATTCTTTTTCTTTTCATTGTTTTTGTTAAGAGACCAGTTTGTTCAGGCTTGTCTTTTTTAGTGGGGAATTAATAGCAAATTATTTTCCTTTTTTGGAGACCGCCTCCGTGGTGTAGTGGTTAGAGCGTCCACCCGGAGAGCGGAAGGTCGCGGGTTCGATCACCGACCGCGTCATACCAAAAGACGTTAAAATATGGTACTTGTTGGTCCCTGCCTGGTGCTCGGCATTAATGGGTACAACAAGGACTGGTCGGCTCGTAGTCAGTATAATGTGTCTGAGTGGGGTATTCATGCTTCACTGCGGCATGGTATCTCAGTGGGCTAGCACTATAAAACCAGCTTCAGTCTGGGCTAGTACAAGCAGCCGCACATACACATACACACCCATGCACGTCGTCATATTAGCGAAATATCCTCAAGCACGACGTAAAACCCAATTTCACCTCACCTCACCTTTTTTGGAATTTATGTATCAGTTACTTTTTGCACCACAACTTAAGCGTACGCTTACTAAATTTAGATGTAACGCTCACAACTTCAAAGTCCAAGCGGCACGATAAATTCTGTATGCTACTTCCCACATAAAATATTGACTTGTTGTTTAAGGTAGCCCTTGTGTTGTACCATATACTTAGGTTGAGAGAGAAAATGTAAATTGTGAATGGGTGTTTATGGATTTATTGATGTTCCTATAACTCGCGTATTTACAGGTTGCGCATAAATGCACTGTTATTAGTTTACACATATTATTTTACACTTATACAAATAAATCTGTCTGTCTGTCTGTTACTTTTGTGGTAGGCAGACAAATAGTGTGTCTTTTTAATCTCGCCTCAAATTGCATTGATTAAATGCAACAAATCATGATAAAATGTTTGAGACATCCCATAGGGATCACTTGATTTTAGAGACTGACTGACTGAGTTTTGGTTTTACGCCGCTTTTAGCAATATTCCAGCAACATCACGGCGGGGGGCACCAGAAATGGGCTTCACACATTGTACCCATGTGGGGATTCGAACTCGGGTCTTAGGCGTGACGAGCCAACGCTTTAACCATTAGGCTACCCCACCGCTCCTGATTTTAGAGAAAATGTCATATTTATCATGATGTATTTCTGTTTAAGTATAAATGTGTCGCTGCACACAAATATCTTTGATTTGGAAATGGTAAATCCATCTCGCAGTTTTAGGTATAATGGACATGCAAGATCCTTCCCAGTGATTCGGGTATTTCAATTCCAATCATATCTGATACCCTTCAATAAAGTCACAGCTAATATTTCTGCCAATGAAATCGAGTAATACCAGAATACCAGAGACAGTACAGTGGTTTTGTGTAGGTCCTGTCACAGTATCATTTCTGTTACTTTGAAATAATCCAAATTTGCGATTTTTCTTGATTTTTCGCTTCTAATCTCCCATTCCTAAAAGAAATGTACGCATCAAATAAGCGGGATGATAACGTGACTGAAAATACTTGCATGTACATCCATGTATATACAGTGAAATCAAAAGTTGTAGCCTACCTGTGAAATGTTTTATTGTGGTATTGAAAGTGATGCTTGATATGACTTAAAGATACAAATATGAATACAATTACAATCACCTACAATCTATGCAGTGTATTGAGAATCTGTACTATAGTACTGTCGGAAATAGAAAAAAGCTGTTTTTAGGCTGTTACTCTGTATCCCTAAAATTTACACAAATGCAAATAGCTTATGTCGAAATAAACCACTTCAGCCTAACTTGGCATTCAGTGGCATACGTAATAGGATATCCAGAAAAACATGTTTACTCGTAAAATCGGGCAAAACTTAGAAAAAATACGAATAGCTGCTGAAAACAATAGATCAGACTATAGATGGCAATTAGGTCGCTCAGCCAGGTATGACGACGGACCGTCGACTCACCTGGCATGAAATGCATGTGCTGCCTACAGGCGCCCAAGGGGTCATCTCAAAGATATTTTGTGCTTTTTCATGTGTGTTGACTATGCCTCATCTATTGATTAACAGCTTATATTTTTTTTGTATAAGTGTCTTTCTTTCATAAAGTTTATGTTGAGATATGGTAAAGAGTTTGATACCTGATAACCATAGAAACGCATCGTATTAAATGTCTCAAAATATATAGGTGGCATGACCACCCGATCGCGAAGATCGACAGGACTGGATATTATTTGTAAATTGTAATGACATGCCGTTTACTTCCCCAGTATAATTCCCCTAAAGGATTATCGTATCTTAGCTGATATCTCTGTCCCCAAGCCCCACCCCAACGATCGTCTGCGACACCCGTCCAGGTTTTGCTTTTGAGACGAACCCTCCTATCTGTTTCTTTTTATAGTGACAGTGAGACTCCATGGTAGCTACATCCTTAATAGTTTCAGGATGAAAGTTATAATTTTTTACACCAGCTATCGTTTATAATGAAGCTACGTCTAATTTCAAATTGGTCACTTAAAAAGTGTCCTTTATAATACAATATCGTCGCACACTAATTTGCATACAGCCATGGTCTGTTCCAAATAATTCGTTTTGGACTTAGAAAAAAATCGCATTGCTCATTTCTGCACTAATCTCTCCTCAGTAAAGTCCTTTTTCTACGTTTCTTGTGTCCCTACCATTGAGACTGTAGTTAGGCCGAATTTAGTTTAAGAGATATTTCACACTTGCACATATCAACTACATGAATTGTAGTGATAAATGAGAAAATACAAGCTTTTTCTATTTCCGACAGTACTATAGCTCATTTCCCCTCTGGCATTGTAGCCTAGTGGATAAGTGATCAAATTGTGCACTTTGTGTTACAAGCATGAAACTTGGCATGATTGTAGCTTATACCATTCTAACTGAATAAAGATCGAGAGGCCTCGCAGATTTTTTATATTTTCCATAATTTGGGGGGGAAAAGTGAAAAAATATAATTTTTTATACTATTTTCGTTATAACCTTTTACAAAATTCTCCAATTCTCATAAGACATATATCAAATTGTAGGAAATCCATAACTGGTCATTTTCCATCTATACATGTCTTTTTATCTTTAACGGTTAGGTCTACGGAAGTCAATTTATATCATGACTACCTGAAAATGCGAAAATTGGTGGCCATTTTGCAAAATGGCCGCCAATTTTCGCACACCATTTTGCAAAATGGCCGCCATATAGAGTACATCAGTAAAATAAGTATGAGATCATCCCATGATCTAAATTATTTTTATCATTTCTTTGCAAATTCAATACGAGAAGCCTCACAGATTGTTGTAATTTTATATATTTGGGGGAAAAGTGGGGAAAAATTGAATTTTCCAAAAATGTTCCTTTAACTCAATGTTAAATCCTCATAAATTATCTTACTAGAATATTGTGAGAACAGACCAAAGTTTATTTTAAGGAATATATCATTAGATTTACTTACATGTATAATGTATGAGCTTGATTGGCTATAGAACACCTATAAAAACATATCAAAATCAAGACAACATCAATGTCAAAGTAGCTATCTCATCACTCTATGGAATGTGT